TCCTTCCCTTCTGCTGGCCTAGATCTCCCACCCATACACCCTCCAAGGGCTGCGGCCCCCAGCCACGCCCCTGCCAGGCCCTGCCAGAAAGGGCTACAGGAACAGGGTTGTGACCTCAGGACGCTCTGTAAGACAGTGAAGATAAAGGAGGAAGGGAGTGGACGCTGCACTCCTAGCCCAGGCCGACTTGGAAGCGGAAAGCCGGGTCACGTGGGAGAGAGTGCCACAGGACATTAACCAGAAACTTCTGAGACTTGCACCCATTCAGCCCTTAAACCTTCCTAGCGTCTTTCATGGAAGGAAGTAGAATGCAGCCCACAGATGGCAAACTGACATCAGCGGGCAGCCAGCACCTTCTCCACTGAGAAGCCCGCCCAGCCGCCTCAGCCACGGATGGACCAACACCACCGGTGCCGGGACACACACCCCCACCCAGGGTCCCCGTCAGTGCCCTGCCCCAGACTCCTTCCTGCGCCCCTCCTGAGGGAATAACCCCCCTCCACATCCAGGGCATCTTACAGAGTGACCGGTTGGACACTTCTGCAGCGTCAGCCTCATACAGGCCACCTAAACACAGCGTGTGGTCTGCGTCTGGACCCGAATCGGACCAGACAAGGCCACAAGTGACGTTACTGGAACAACAGAGGAAACTGGAGTACGTACAACAGGGTAGATTCGTCACTGAATTCATCAGTGCGAGTCCCCAGCGGGTGGCTGTGTGGGGAAGGCCAGACACGTGCAGACGTGTTTCCCAGGTGGGGTCGTGCGGCCACCGCCAGCCCTCATATGGGTTGGCAGAAGGACAGGTGACCTCTGCCCCCATCTCTTGTCCGTCCGGCTGTTTGTATCCAGGTGAAGGGCACGTGGGGTTCCTCACGCTATTCTTGACGTTTTTCTGTAGTTCTGAAATTTTAAGGAACCCATGGGAGGGAAGCCAGGCCTGGAGCGTGTCTGTCCACTAGGCGTGCTTTCCCACGGCCCCTCTCTCTCCTCTGCGGGAACAGTCTCGATTTTGTCACAGCTGGTTTCCTCCGAAGCCCCGGAGGGCCCTGGCTGGCCCCTCTGCCCTCAGTCGCTTCTCCCGGGCCTCCACCCCGAGGAGGGGCGCCGGGGCCCCATGTCCTCAGACACACTGACCTCCTCAGAGCTGGGCCTCTGAACGGCCCCCGGGTCCCTCAGGAGCTGGCACCACCTCCGTGTCACCTCCCTGCAGGGTCAGCAGCCTCAGGTGGCCACGCCTGCTCCCCACACCTGCTCCCACCTGGCGCAGACGCTTCCCCACGGCCCTCTCCCGGGCTCATGGCGCGTTGCCTGCCTCCTCGTGAGTGTCCGAGAGCTGACTCCAAGCCTACAGGTGTCCTCCTCCACAGGACAGCGTGCCCCACCGCCCCGTCTCCCTCCCCTCAGCCCTCTCCTGGCACACGCCGGCTCTCCTTCTGGTTCTCTGGCCTTTTCTCCGGGTTTCCTTTGTCTCTGTGCTCCCTGCCTCTCACCCCTGCAGTACTGGCTCCGGGAGCTGTGCGTGGAGCCCCTGTGCTCGCGGCTTCCACTGTCCGTCTGCTCGGTGCTTCCTGACAGTCGTCTCCAGCCCTGACCTGTCTCCCGAAGCCCACACTCGGATCCGCTTCTCAGGGGGCGTCTCCTCACGGTCCACCAGGCGCTTGGGTTTCAGCGTCTCTGAGCCGGGCTCCTGCCCTGCCCTCCCGCCCTGGCCAGCCGCCTCCATCTGAGCAGCAGCCGTCCTCTGCTCCTGCCCAGTATCCCGGGGACCCCTGCTCACTCTCTACGTCCACCAGGAGCCAATGCTGCTGCCCGGCCCTCCCTCACTGCACCTGGATCCAGCCCGCTGCTGGCCTTCCGCCCTGCCTGGCTGAGCCCCCAGTGTGTCACTTCCCAGCAGGTGCTCACCAGCCCCGCCCCATTCTCAGTCTGACCGTTTAAGATCTTTCTGCAGCACAGGCAGGAGCATGCCACCCCTCTGAGAAAGCACAGCCTCTCTCCCCTGTAGTCTGGAGGGCCAAGTCCGTGGTGTTGGGAACCTTCTAAGCATCTGTCCCCACATCCTTCACCCTGTTGTGTGAGCCTCTGTCCCCACATCCTGTTGTCGGAGCCCCCATCCTGCATCCTTCACCCTGTTGTGTGAGCCCCCATCCCCGCATCCTCCACCCTGACCCCTGTCCCTGTATCCTCAGCCCTGTTGCCAATTCTTTTGCACCCTGGCCTCCAGCTCATCAGAAGTCTACCCTGAAGGCCCATGCCACTCCCATATCCATCCTGGCTGCTTTTGTTCCCTCCTTGTGGGCCCTTGCCCAACCCCTCTGCTGTGACATCCACTCACTGGGTCTGTCACCTAGCCACCTTCTCAATTCCCTCTCTCTTGCTCAGTAAACCTCCCATAAACCACTCAGTAAACCCCATCATGTTACCTGTCAGACTCCTCCAGGCCCTGCAGGGACAAAGGAGAGGAGAGAGTTTGTGACCTTGTCGTCCCTAAAGCCGAGGCTTTTGTTGCCATATGCTGAGGTCTGCTCCAGATGACTGTGGATGCCGGAGGCCCAGGAGAGGCTCAGCGCCCTCTGCTGTTGGGGAGTAGGTCCTCCCTGCCCCCTTCCAGCCAGGGAGTCACAGTCTGGCACCTGCCTGAGTGGACTTGGTCTATCTACGAAGCTCACAGTGGGACCTCGCGGGCTCCAGGTGTGCAGGAAGAGGATGGGGTTGACAAGTAAGAGACCGTCACAAATCTCACAATTGCCAAGATTTTTTAAAACGCTTTCTGATAAACCAATGTAAGAAACCTGTCAAAGCAACTGGGACAAGGTTGGCAGGTGATTCATTTGGAATCGAGTTGTTGGCTTGTACGCATCCTCCTGGCTCTCTCCTGCTTTCGCCGGCTTGCCTTCTCCTGGGATCTGTACTAACCCTGCTCTGGCCGGCTCTCTGCTCTCTGTTCCCCGTGCTGGGTCGAAATTTTCTGAGAAGTTGCCGTGGGGTTGGAGATAAAGAAAGTGCCCAGTGGGTTCCCTGGCTCAACTTTCACAGTCATGCTTTACTGTAAAATGTTTATTATAAGCAGTTTAATGATGATCACATAACATAAATCCCTAGTCCAGTCTAAACTCTCTATTGTCTTACATCAAAGCAGGGCAGGTGCTCCAGGGTGCGAACTCAGCCATGTCTCGTGTGCGTGTCTACACCACAGTCTTCCTCTGGGGCCGGGGCCTGGTGTTCACCTGTACAGCTGGCCCCTGGTAACGAGCTGATAGGACACTGTGCTTGCAGAAAGTGCCCACCAAATCCATCCCATGTGGGGCAGACTGTGCCCTGTCGTGTTGTGGGTGAGAAGGCAGGCAGTTCTCTGAGGACTAGTGAAAATACAAATCCTCAGGAGTGAAAAACACGAGGCTGCCTTGAAAACCTCAGTTTCCTTCTAGAAACAGAATCAGAACATGCTGGGAAGATTTGTTTTCCACAACAGCACTGTTCTCTCACTCAGAACTCGACCAGGGCTTCAGGGCAGTCCACGCTTCCTTAGAGCCAGGGCCAGGCCCATCTGCCGTCGACTTGTTTCCCGCGGCGGACAGACCGATCATGTGTCAAGAGAGACCCTTAGACTTGGGGCGGTGGGGAGGCACAGAGGGATGTGGAAGCACGCAGGGGCTCACCCAGCCTTCATTTGGAGGTCAGAGGACGTCCGGAGAAGCTGTGCACTGGAGGCCTGAGGGATGTCAGAGTTAGCCCAGTGCAGAGGGGCCAGTAAGGGAGGGAAGCCATGGGGAGCCCATCGGAGGACCTGCAGGTGTGGAGGATGGGGACGAGGGGGCATGTGGTGTGGTGATGCGTGGACAGCTGTGGTGTGGCTGGAGTGGGAGGTCAGAGGGAGATCTTGGAGGAGCTCACAAAGTAAGGATGGTGGGGAGGCATTTAGGGGGCTCTAAGCAGGGGAGCAGCACATGGTCAGGTTGGCACATTTGAAGCTCACTGCCACGCGGAGATAGACTGGAGAAGGCCTCCCAGACGGCCATGGCTGTAATCTCGGCAGGAGATGTCCTTGCCCAATGCAGGAAGGGAGCAGGAGAGTGAGGACAGGGGGGAGGGCGACTCCAGAGACACTTCAGGTGAGCAGCGCGCGGGCAGTGACAGACGGGCACCAGAGGGAGGAGTCAGTGAGGTGCTCGGGTTTGTGACTTAGCAGCTGGAGCTGGAGAGGATTCCATTTGCTGAGAGAGAGTCCGAGAGAAAGGAGAGATTTGGAAGAAACCTCCCTGAGTTCAGTGTTGGGCCGTGTGTGGGGTACCCGTGGGCATCCACGTTGAGCCGAGATGTCTAGCAGGCCGTCGGGTGGTGGGTCTGGAAACAAAGAGCGAGGTCGGGGCTGGGCATCTGCATGTGGGAGTTGCCAGCACGTGGAAGCTTCAGCAGGGAAAGGATTGCCCAAAAGGTGCAGTGAGCTGAGGAGCAGTCCCAGGACAGAGAGACCGAGGAGTGAGCAGGTCAGAGGAGGAGAGCAGGAGAGAGCCACCTGTCCCCTGATGAGTGCTGAGAGGCCACGATCATCGCAGTGACCTGGGACTTGGGAGCAAGCACTGGGGATGCGAATTTTCGTAGGGTGGCAGGTAGAGGAGTGTCGGGCAATGTTTCTCTCAGCGGCTGTGGCCATAAGGAGCAGGGATAGCATTGGCCTCTCCTCTTCGCGCCCAGCTGCAGATGTGGGTTGACACCTGACTTTCATCACGCTTCTCTAGCCTGGCACACCAGGCGGGCCAGTCTGTCTCCTCCCGGGGCTGGGCAGAACCTGGGCTGGGGCCTCGGAGTTCCTCTCCCAGCACCGCGGACAGCGCCGGCGTCCTTATGTGGGTGAATGACCAGGCCTGTGACCTTAGCTCAGCACGAGGACATACCCTCAGGGTCGTCCCTCCCTTTGTTTCTGAGATACCGAGCTGTGCCTGTTCCTGTCCGATAGTCCCAGTCACCCTGGATCACCCGCTGCCTCTGCCTTGCAGATTATCCCCAAAGCCAGCGAGCCGGCCCGGCAGCCCGAGAGCCACCCTGAGGAGACGGAGGAGGAGCTCCGCGAGCACCAGGCCCTCCTGGAGGAGCCCTACCTGGACCGGCTCTCCGGGCAGAAGGAGGCGCACGCGCTGGCCGGAGTGCGGGTGAAGCAGGAGCCCATCGAGAGTGACGACGAGGAGGCTGAGCCCCCACGAGAGGCGGAGCCAGGCCAGCGCCAGCCCACGGAGCAGGAGCTGCTCTTCAGACAGGTGACCACGTGGGCGGGGGCCAGGCGGGGTGGGAGAGGACGGACAGGGGCAGGAGAGAGTGGACGGGCCAGGTGGGGCAGGAGAGTGGATGGGGGCCGGGTCCTCGGGCAGTGGCCCATGTCCCCCTCAGGGCAGTGCCCTCTGGGGGTGGTCAGTGGAAACTGGAGGGCCTCTTCCTTCCACTCCTGCCTGTCCAGGTCCTCGGCCGTCTCCCTTGTGCTGTGGGTGGTAGGTGTGGTTTGGTGCCGATTTTATGGTAGCTGTACTAGAGACACTGGCCATTTGTCCACTGTGAGCATTTATGCACCTGCGTTCCAGCAAATGCTGGCCCCAAACTCCTTGGGGATGGTTTTCTTTCAGATCTGTAGGCCATCCATAACGTAAATTCAAGTGTTGACAGGATTCAGCATAATCACTAAAGGCAGGGAGAGGGAGATTGATTTCTTAATTGATCAAAAAGGTAGGCCTGACCTACCTGGGGCCAAGGAGGCAGTGGTGACCAGCCTTACAGATCCAGAAAAGCAGTGTGAGCCAGGTACCCAGAGCCAGTAAGGTCCCCAGGTACTGACAGAGAATAACCAAACTCACAGGAGACTGATGAATAGATCCAATGAATGATTTATTAATTTATAGTGAAAAATAAAACTGCCAAGTCAACAAAACACTAGGACAGCTGGCCAGCAAGTCGGAAACCCCGTGTTAGAAGCCCGAGTGCCACCAGGGAGGTTGCTTGTTCCTGATAAAGGACGTGAGAGCCAAGGGCGCCCATGAGGTAGAGTCTGATCGTTTCCTCCAGGGGTGGAGCTGCGTCTGGGGTATGGGGGCCCTGGCTCATCTGCTCCCTTCTTGCTAGGCTTCATGCCAGCTACCCAGCCAGGTACCCCCTCTGACAGCCGAGGTGTGCGCCCGTTGCTGCTCCTCGGCCCCTGCCACAACTCCTGACACACAGAATCAGCTCTTAGATTTCTCTTGAGACCTCGGGGTTGGCAGCAGGCCACACCCTCCACGGCTGACTTTATAGTGCTTTTTCTGTTTCTCATGCAGAGGGCGGCCTGTCTCGTTTCTCGGGCCACTTTGTTGGCACCCCAGGCACTAACCCACTACTCTGCCAAGTGTGATGGAGCCAACACTGAATGAAAACAGAGAGGTTACGCCAGGAGGAAGCCGCCGTCTTTTCTGTTGTGCAGGCTCGTGCCTGCCTGGCTGTCCTAGTGGTCACGGCCCGGGAGGGGGCTTCATGCCCGTGTGGGTGGGAGGGCCTTGCGCGTTGATGAAGGAAGCCAGTCTCTTAGTAGAACTGAAATCAGTGTTATTAGTACACCGATACAGAGTTGGAAAATTTTTAGGGCTAGCGTCGTGTGGATGATGAAGTGGTCAGTGTTTGTTTAGTTGTGCTCCAAGCCTGAGACAGTTGTTAGAAACGCTCATTTTCTGTATTCTCTGGAGAATAATGGGCAGGGCTCCCTATCAGGGGAACTTGGTGCTACGTGGAGCAGCCTGCAGACATAAACATCAGTCGGGGTATCCCATGTTTCGTGGCCTCTGTGTCCGGGAGAGGTGCTGGTGGGTTTGGGCGGCTGTGAGCCCATTGGAGGCAGGGAGCCCCCTCAGCAGAACTGTGGGAGGGACACCCACTCTCGGGGAGGGAGGCCCCGTGGGGGCGCCTCGCACTCCCAACTCGTCTGCCGAGAGGCGGCTCCGGGCCTGCCGTCCAGATGCCTCCAGCGTCTCGGGCTCTCCTCCTCCACCCCTCCTGCCTCTGCTTCTGAAGGGCAGGCAGTTGGGAGCCCAGGCAGGGAGGAGCTCTCCCTCTGCTTACGGCCCTGGATGGGCCCTGCCCCACAGCCTGCCGTGCGCCTGCTCCTCGCCCGGGGCCGGGGCATTGGACCTGGTCTCCCCAGATGACAAGATTTGTTCATCAAAACCCAGGCACGCCTCGTGGTGGAGTTCGCAGGCGTGGAGGCCCATCGGCCTGGATGGCGGGACGTCATGCTTTGCCTTCCTTCCGGTCTCAGGAGGCCTGGGCAGCAGGCTCTGCAGCTCCTCAGGACGGGCTGGCAGGCGGGCTGCGCAGCCGCGTCTCCACCACGCTCTGTCTGGCCCCACTCCGCCTCCCAGGGGGCACGCACTCAGGGTCTCCCTCCCTCGGGGCCCAGGCCCCTGGCTGAGTGCCCCACGCTCCACAGACCCAGCATCCACCCCTGCAGTGGCCCTGGGTCCAAGACCCTCTCCCGTCCACCTCTCTAGCCCTTCTGGGGTCTTCGTTCGTGTGTTCCTCCCTGGCTCAGGGTCCGAGGAGAGAAGAGACGTGGTGGATTAGCACTGTCCGCCCAGCGACGGCGAGGCAGCGGTGCCCCTGCGCGGGGAGCAGACCATCCCTGCTGCTGAGGGTAGCAGAGACCCACCACTTCAGACCCGAGGTCCCTGAGTGTTGAAACCTCCTGTTTCAGGTCCGTGTAGTATCGTGTGCTTACAGAAGCCAGCTCTTCACAAAGAAACGTAACTTTGGTGAAAAAGAATGTTTCATCAAAGTGTGTTTTTAACTCACTCTCTTATTATCTGGTTATTTTTGCTGAAAGAAGGCTAAAGTAGGGTCCTGGGGATTATCCTTCTGGGTCCCCACCTCCTCAGAGGTGCGTCCACACCCTCCTGGCCCCGCAATGCCCTGCTGGTTGGGCGTCTGGAGCCTTGGCAGGATGTTTCTTTCCTCTTTGCTTCAGCCGTTCTCTCCATCCTCGAGTGACGTGAGATGGTGAGAGACCCGGAGAGGGAAAAGGGTCGCTAGTGAAGAGTTAGCATTTCTGTTCTGTGATGGGCTTTTTCCCCAAGTTTCTGGCGTACAGATCAAGTACTCTTGGTCCAAACCAAGACAACAACAAACGAGCAGGAGGCTGGGGCTCCTCGGGTGTCTGGCTGCCCCAGTGGCTCTGCCGCCGTGTGCTGCACGTGGGTGAGTGATGGATGGAGGAATGATGGCAGGAAAGGGGTACGCCGTGTAGCCTGCAGCCCGGAGGTGGGAGATTACCAACGAAAGCACTGTCTCCTCTCCCCCCAGCAAGCCCTCCTCCTGGAACAGCAGCGGATCCACCAGCTGAGGAACTACCAGGCGTCGATGGAGGCCGCTGGCATCCCCGTGTCCTTCGGCGGCCACCGGCCTCTATCCCGGGCACAGTCGTCCCCAGCGTCTGCCACTTTCCCCATGTCTGTGCAGGAGCCCCCCACCAAGCCGAGGTTCACCACAGGTAATGCGTGCGGGGAGGGCAGGCCGGCCATGGGTGGGGCCGTGGGTGGCCCTGTTTGCCTTGCGGACCAGAGCCCCTGTGTGAGACGTGGTTAGCAGCTGGAGCAGAGCAAGGGAGGCACCCCGTTGGGGACTGTGCTGTCCAAAGGGTGAGGTGTCAGGCTGGGCGTGGGGTCGAGGACAGGCCACTTCCAGGGCTGGCGGGCCGGCAACCTCGCACCTGGCCCGACTCCTGCACCTGGGCCTAGACTGGGTAGGAGAGCAGATGGATCCATCACTGAGGCTCCCTTCTCACCCACCCCTTCTGCTATCCTGGGGGTCTGTGCTGGGCTTCCCATCTGTAGTCAGCAGGGTAATGAACTAGCCATTTCTCGTCAGTCCCTCCTTGAGCTGAGCCTACATCCCGGGCCTTGACCGTGAGGCCCAGGGAACCGACGGGAATCGTGTCCACACTGTGAGTCACGCTCGTGTGAGAACAGAGCTTAGCCAGCCCCCAGGCTCTTGCTTTCTGGATCGACTTGTCCTCCCGCCGTTGCCAGCCGTCGTGCTCCTTCCATCTGCGCCGTCTCGTGCCGCCCACCCCACCCCTTCGGGAGCCGGGCGACGTCTGCTGGCAGGAAGCTGGTTTCTGCCTGAAGACACCGCTCCAGCAGTCAGCAGTGCGAGCTTGGTGGGCGGAGGCGGCGTCCGTCCACCAGGTGCGGAGGCTCCGGGCTCGCAGGCCCGGCGCTGCCCGCAGTCCCACACCCGGCCCCCAGCCCTGCCGGGAGGGCAGCCAGATGGCTCTTCACGTGCTCTCACCTCATGTCTCTTCTCACCGGCACGTTAAGAAAAAGTTGTCTCGGCAGAATGGTTTCATGCTTCCGCTCCTTGTAAAACGTCGCCTTTTTCCGCACACTGTAATGTCTAAATGTGGCGGAGTCCTCTTGCCGGGTCTTAGAAGGATTGTGCTCACATTCAGAGAAAAATTTAAGTAGTGGTTATCTGGAACTTAAATTGCTGCTTTTCAGAAAGAAAACTACAAAGGGTCACAAATAGAGTCAGCAGGTGACCCTTTCAGAAGTGGAAGCCTGGCCACCAGCTGGGATGAGAAGAGCGTGGCTCCGAGACCCCAGGCCCACAGCGCGTGGGGAGGCTGCCACGAGGACGGGCCAGGAGGGCGCACACGGGCCCTCGGGTCTGCGTGCCGTCAGCAGGAGTGGGCCTGCGGGCCGCCTGTAGCTGTGCTTGCTCAGTTTGTCTTCACTGTTCCTTTTCACAAAATGTACAGAACGGAACATGCTCACTGTGAAAACACAAACAGGACAGGCGCTCTGAGAAGTTCGCACTGCCCCTGATCCCGCTCCCCGGGGGTGGCTGCTGCTGGGAGTTTGGTGTAAATCTTCCAGAGTGATTTCTGTGCACAGCGAGATGGACAGACGGACGCAGACACCGTTTATTTGACAAAAACGGGTTCTCGCACCCGTGTGCGTTTGGCTCTCGCCCCCGCTCTCCCCCATCCGTGTGGCCCGGAGAGTGGCTGCGTGGCCTCCTGGCGGCTCCACCTTAGCTCTGTGCACTCATGCTCCCTCCCCGTCGCTCTCTGCTCCAGTTGGCCAGCTGTCAGAGGGAATCCCAGCGGTGTCCCGCTTGAAGGTTCCAGCCACATGCCCAGTAAACATCGGCAAACTGTTTTATCCCCGTGATGCTGTTCAATGGGTGGGCCCTAGTCTTTGTCCTGCTGGACGTCTGGATCGTTGACGCACTTGTGTACATGCATGTCATATAGCCATGTGTATGTACATGTGTAGACCTGTATATATGGGTGTGTATGGCCATTACAAGCCACTAAATGCACCCACTTGTCTATACATGTCTTCCACACACCTTAGTTCACTGATCGTCAGTTTCTGCGTTTGGGTCCTGTAAGCCTGCTCCTAACCTGTTGCTTTTTTACCAGAATTCCCATCCCTCTTCCTCCCACCCCTACCACTCAGTTTTGCTAGTACACCCAGAATTCCCCCAATGCAGGGGGACTGACTCCTATAAGCCTGACTCACAAGAGACTGAGTGAGGAGGTCCGGGACCTGCAGGTGTCCAGCTGGGCCCTGTGGAAACAGGCTCATCTGGAAGCTCTGCTCCCCGGTGGGTGGTGGTGCTGGCACCACTTTCCAGCATGAAACACACAGAGGTTGTAGCATGGGTCTGTCTGACTATAGCTAGTGCTTTACAGCACAGTGCTCCTGCCTTTCTCTGCCTGAATGAGCAGGTATTAACAACAGATGCCCCTTAGCAGAGATCTGTCTGCCGAGGGCATCCATTCACCTAGCCTGGCCTTCCCGTTGTCAGGACCCTGGCAGCCCAGGTGTATGAGGTGACACAGATAGTGCTGCAGCAGGGACAGCGGGCACCTGTCCTGGCAGATGTCAGCTGGGGGCCGACCCTTCCCCTAACAGGAGGGGGCATGGAACAGGGGTGCGCCCTGGAGGGAGCCTTGGGGGTGCACTCAGCACCCACCTGCCCTTCCCCCATCTCCAGCCTCATCTCCAGATGTGTGGGATACAGCCACTTCACAGCGTCTTCCTGACTGTGACATCGGGCACTTTGATTGGTCTGGGAGTGTCACCGTTTCCCTCCACAGCAGAGCATGGGCTGGCTCTGGGGCTGGCTGGGCCTCTCTCCCTGCGGGCCGGCTCTGTGCTTTCAGCTGCGTCCCAAATGACCAGGCAAACCTAGGTAGTTCACACAATGTTCTGGACTCCGGTTATATCCGTTTCTGTGTGAATTTTAAGTGCACTTGTGTTTGCCTGTTTGTGTGTGTGCTTTCACACACTTGTCCCAGCGACTCTGGAAGTTTCCAAGGGCAGGAACCGAGTTTCGTCCTCCTTCTGAACCCCAAGAAGCTCAAACAGTTCTCAGGGCACCAGAGTCACTTCATAGAGAGGTTGGCCCCTGACCACGTAGACTGGCATCTTTGGACCAAACTCTTGTTTCTGGAAGTCAGCGCCATCCTCTGTGATGTGAATGCCGCACACTTTTCGACCCAGAGGGCTGAGTCCTTGGGGTGGGGCTCTGACCTGCTCCCCTCCATGCAGGCCACTCGGCTGCCCCCGACCCTGGCGGTGCTGGCTCAGATGTTCTGGCCAGTGCCGTGAGCAGGGGCTCGGCCTCACGTGGTGGGCGGCTGCTGAGGACCCCCGGCAGCCCCGCTCACGGTGCCCGCCTCTGCCCTCTGCTGCAGGCCTCGTGTACGACACGCTGATGCTGAAGCACCAGTGCACCTGTGGGAACACTAACAGCCACCCGGAGCACGCTGGGAGGATCCAGAGCATCTGGTCCCGGCTGCAGGAGACCGGCCTCCGAGGCAAATGTGAGGTAAGGCCAGGCCCGAGGCCAGCAGGGAGGGTGGCCACGCAGGCCTGTGGGAATCAGGGGCGGATTGTGTGACAGCCTGGGGGAGGGGCCTGTGAGCATCTCCACGGTGACATTGGGCACTGCGGGTGCACAGGCCTGCCTTCTGGAAGAAGCCCAGGCTGCTCTCCCAAAAGCTCAAGTCCTCCCTGCAGGAAGGTCCCCCTCTGTCCTGTACCCTCTGTTCTCCTGCACCCCTCTGTCCTGTACTCCTCTGTCCTGCACCCCCCCTTACCCAGCACGCTCTTGCTGAACCCCACGGCTGCTTGTTTTCCTTCTGGTCGTTTCCCTGGAGAAACCATTCCCACCCTTGCTGTGTCAGTGCCCAGGACGCCCAGCCAGGCTGTCCTCGGACCTCTGCCACCAGGGCAGGATCTGGAGGCCCACAAGGGAGCTCAGTCCTGTTGGGTTTTTTTTGTTGCATGGTCTCTCACTTTAACATTTCCAAAAGCTTCTCCAGGGGTGTGGGGAGAGCCTTAGGCCTTTGAGGTGTTTCTCAGAATTAAAGTTCCTGCCCGGCACAGACCGAGTGGGGATAGAGTCTGGTCTGCTTGGAATTTGGTTCACAGGCACAACATCGCCACCCCACCTACTCTTAAGTCCAGTGAGAAGGTTCCAACGACCCTATTTCTGGGACTGGTCGTCAGTTTCCCTGCTGCCTGGTGGTGGTGGTGGCTACACTAGCTCTCAGACGAGGAGGGCTTGGTCCCCAGCCCTCCCACCTGTCGGAGTTCACTCTGCCCCACACGTGGCTGCAGTGGACCCTGGGTCCCACGAGGACTGGAAGGCTTGCTGAGTAACCTCCTGAGGTTCCTTCCTCCTTCTGCTGGGGGCGCAGCATTTCCATGAAGTGACCGACTCGTGCCCTTTGCCCTGGAGGGCAGCTGTCACGAGGGTCTGGAGCTCTTGAGCGGGGGAGGCGTCTGAGCAGGTGTCAGGGAGGCCCCGCGACAGTGTGAGCATGGAGAGCAGGGCTCCAGGCTCTGGGGCGCCAGTGTGCTTGTGTGTGGAGTGGGGCTGGCAGCTCTAGGATGATGGCGCCCAGCCCCTGACGTGCCCACCAAGTGGGGAACCTGCTGCGTCCCCACACACACTGGGAATCCCTCGAAACTAAGATGGACGCAGGGTGGCACGTGCTGCTCTGCGGGGTGTCTCTGGAAAGCCAGAGCCCTGCGATTGAGGAAAACCATCCACATCCATCCGTCACAGCCCTAGTGCCCCCGGGCCAGGCCCAGGAGAGCAAGTGTGGCCAGAATCCCTGTCCATGAGTCTGCCCGCTCCTCCCGTAGGAGCCGGAATAGTGAGGAGTTTGTCCACCTGTTTCAAATGACCCCATTTTGTTACCGGCTCTATGGTGGTAGGTGATTTTTGGAGAGGGAAGGGGCACCAAGGCTGGCTCCCGCGTCCTGTCCTGAAGTGCCTGCTGGGGTGGAGAGCGACCCCGGGGTTGCTGGGCGAGGAGCGGGTGCCCTGCTCTGGGATCCACGAGGCTGCGCCACTGGGGGGCAGCAGCGCCCCAGCCACGGGTTCCGAGGAAACCATCCCCTTCCCCCTCCTGCGCCCGGCCCGCGGGACCAGCCTGACCCAGGCCCTGCTCATCTTCCAAGGGGCGGCTCGGGGCGTCCGAAGTCCTTGTGACTTACTTCTTACCCCCTCACGCCCCCCCAGGAGGGTCCACTCAGGCCTGAGGAAGTCCCTCAGCCAGCAGCTGGGGGGGAGAAGGTGAAAACACACAGGCGAACAGAGACCACACTGCCCTCCGCCTTCCTTAGGTACCCTGGGGGGATGTGCCAACAGGGGGGATGTGGCCGCAGGGGTCCTGGTACTAGAGAGGACAGGGGTCTGTGGGGCCATGGGCTCAGACCTGAGCCGGCAGGACGGTCGGGAAGAGACCAAGTGACGCGTGGGGCTTCCACGCTGCACACCCATCAGGAATGCAGAGCGGGCACCGTTGACGTGTGGGGACGCTCACCTCGGGGCACGCCTCCCAGTTCAGAGGGTGACGCGTGGTCACTCAGCCCAAGGAAACATGGCGTCCCTGCCTTCACTGGCCAGGCTCCCAGCGCAGGCCTCTGAGACAGCAGAGCACAGGGCCCAGGCACTGGACACACACTGTAGGAATTGGCCCCTGACAGAGGAGAAGTTAGAGGGACCGGTGGTGCTGTGGCTTCCCAGGGTCCCCGACCACTCAGAGGCCAGAGCCAGCCCAGAGCCCAGGCCTCCCGGGCAGCCCCAAGCTCTGGGTGGACGACTGTCGGGGGGCTCTGTGGGGTGGGCTCCTCCCCCATGCTGCTGCGTTGGGCTCGGTGTGGTGGTGAAGGGCGTGGAGCGGGGTGGGAGAGCTTTCCTGCGGGCCCATGACCCTCTCCACACTGAGGGGTTGCGCCAGCAGGGACCTGGCGCAGAGGGCTTGTGTCCAGCCCTTCTGCTCTTTACCTCCTACATCAGTGGGCGTCTCTGGGGAAGCTGTCATACTACTGTGAGCAGTGACAGGCCCTCCCTGGAGCTTTCAGGGGCGAGAGCAGCCCCTGGCCTGCCTTTGTGCCAGGGGAGCATGGTGTTGGCCTCAGTGTGCCCAGGCATGCCCTAGATCATCACCCCCAAGTCCGCAGAGTCAGGGTCGACTCTTCCCGTCTTATGCTAACCTGAAAGCCACTTCAGTGTAAAAGGGTAACTTTAATTTCACTTTTAATAGGTTAAGTAAATGTAGTTCAACTAAAGAATAGTAATTTTCATGTTAATTTCTGGGGAAAATTCTGAAAGTAGCCCGGGAGTCTTGATTTGAGGAATTTCCAAACCAAAGAAAAATGCAGAGGACCGCAGACAGCGATCTGAGGCTTCAGGCTCTCGCACTTGCTCTCAGGAAGGTCCGCTTTTCCCTGCTGCTCAGCGATGCTCAGGGTGCCCGGGGTCCAGCTTCCCCCAAATGAGAACTAAGCGAGCAGCTGCCCCGCCCTGGCAGTTCCCCTCTATTTTAAGACGAGACCCCAGCCGTTGGAAAGCAAGGTAACAATTTGATGCCAAATCATTTGTGTGACAGTGAAGGTTAAAGCCTTGAAGGCTGGAATTATCTTTTTAAATGTTTTTCAAAGTTATAATTAAAGTGTAAACCCTCTAAAATATTTTTAAAACGTTTTTAAAATATTCTATTGGGTGATATTTGCTTTTTATTTTGCAATAACCAAATAATTTTGTGCTTGTGCACATATAAAATTCAGTTTCCTTTTGGCTGGTGGTTTTCGTGGGAATTGTTTTCTGTTGAAACTGAACCCAGACACGTAGGGGAGGTGTGAGCATCGTCTGTGTTCTGTCCCTGCAGTGTATCCGCGGACGGAAGGCCACCCTGGAGGAGCTGCAGACGGTGCATTCAGAGGCACACACCCTGCTCTATGGCACCAACCCCCTCAACAGGCAGAAACTGGACAGTAAGAAACTTCTAGGTATTTCAAGGCCTTCTTTACTTTTACTGCCCGAGGTTGTGTTTCCAGCCCTGCGCTCCCTCGAGGCCGCTCTGCGCCTGGCTGTAGAAGCACGGCCCGCTGTCCCGTCCTCGGCCCCCGTGGCGGTGGCAGTTCACCAGGCTCTGCCCGGGCGGCCGGGACAGGGATGGCCCTTCCCCGTGGTGCCCAGGCCAGGTTCTAAGGTGAGGGGCTGGAAGAGAAATTCTCACCCTTGGCGTTCACGAGGGCCGCGGGTTGCATGCGTTGTGTCAGTGTGTTAGGTAGAAAATGGGCTGAGAACTGCTGTTTTTGCAGAATCTTCAGTCACAGAACTTAGATGCTAGAGGCTGATCAGGGTCCTCGAGCTCCCGACCTGCAGCCTAGCCCTGGCCGGCTATGAGCCTGGATCGGTTTGAGCTCCACTTGAAAGCTCATCAGGGGAAAGGCAACAGATGGCCCAGAGAGTGTTTGCTGCGGGGTGAGGCGCACAGGCAGCCCTGCATGAGGGATCGTAGGGGAGAGCGGGGCCTGACAGAAAGAACTTCTCAACAGGCATCTCCTGCCCGGGAGGTGGTGAGAGTCTCGCCATAGGGCATCTTCAACAGAGGCAGGCGGGTCCTGACAGTCGCGCAGGGCCCCTTGGGCTCCCCACGCGACACCACCCCGGTCAGGGCCTTCCTGGGTAATTTCCGCCCAGCTTCCTAGCCACCTTGAACTGGGACAGTCACCAACCGTGGGTTTCCTTCTGTGATCTCTGCCTCCACTCCCTGGGGAGAGAAGCCCCCATGAGCTCCTCCCTGAGCCTGAGGCAAAATAGGGAGAAGGGGGTCCGGGCATCACAAACACTGGGGTAACTGGGCGGGGCAGAGGAGAGGGGTGGGCTGTCGCTGTTCCTCGTTTCTTTGGAAATGTTGGGAAGGTCGGCTCTGCGCCAGGCCCTGTGCTGGGCAGCTGTGAACCTCGTGGGGATCCCGCTGCAGTGTGGCCTTCCTTCATTCATGCACACATTCACTCACTTATGCATTAATTCACTCATTCACTGAGGGAGCACATCTTCTGTGCCCGACACCCTGAAGGTGCTGAATCCTCCAATGGGGTTGAAGTGGCCACTGCCCTCGGAGAGCGTGGAGCTGGTGGGGCCGTGAGGAAACGTGGGTTCTGGCCCAAGGTGGCTGTCCGTGCCCTACTGCCCTCTAGTAACAGGGCTTTTAAAAGACATCAACACTCCTGCTCGGGGAGACAGGAAAGGAGCCAGCAGCAGGAGAGCCTGGAGGCTGCAGAGCAGATAGACAGCGGTGCCGGACAACAGATGTAAGGAAGTGGACACCTGAGCCAGCACTGCGGACAGAGACCGCCTGACACAGCCCACTGATTTAGACAGCCCAGGGATGGCAACTGCAGAGACCCCGGGCCCAGGGTCAGGGCAGGGAGGGGTCTGGGCCAAAGGGGTCTGAGAGGCCTGCACCCCTACGCCGTCCCAGCTCTATGGCCTTGGACAGAAAAGGCACAGGGACCCTGGGCTGGGCTGGACGTCACACACAGAGCAGGGTGAAGGCACTAGCCTGCCTCACACCACCCCTCCCTGCTCCCAGCACGCTGACCTTTACCCCCCAGGCAGAGACAGGAGACCCCTCTTCAGAGATTGAGCAGCCCAAAGGAAGCTGACATTGGGGGCACCCTGACAACAGCCCCCCAAGATCCCCGACAGGAGCTCACAACTCATAAGCCCACCGTGTCAGCTGGAACTTCCAGCAGCCTTTAGAGCCTCACTCTTAGGCATGCGCGGGCGACCAAGGATTATCCACACCTGGGAAGTGCTTAGCAGGGAGGTAGAGTCTGAAACAAAGCAGCTCAGAGGACACACTTCCGGGGTGGGGGGGAGATGGAGAGGACCCTCAAGTGCCAGCTAAAGAAGTGAATCGGCCAGTTGTTTACCCTCGAAACAAGTTTATTCGGGAACGACCAGAAGGACTGCAGTTCGGGATGTGCATGCCATGGCACGCCATAGGCAAACCCTATGTCCACCACACGAGGACAAAGGAAGGGGGCTGCTTTATAGAGGAAAACGGGGAGAGGGAGGGGCTGCTTAGAACCCAAGTCCGCTGGGGGAAGTAGCAGTGCAGGGTGGTGGCTACTTCTCATTGGATGGGTGAGGCAGTTTCTCATTGGCTGGGCTGTTTCTGGGCGGGGAGGAGAATCTTTCCTCCTGCTGAGTAGTAAGGTGGTGAACACACTCCTGTGGAGATGCCAGGGCACGTCTCCTCCTGATGGAGTAGTGGACGACGTGCGATAGGGCTTGAGAGCTCCCCCTACGGGCCTGCCCCACTCTGATTTAGTTCAGGTTTCTCTCATTCATTTCACAAAAGAAAACCAAAACTGTCGTCACTATCCTTAAGGAGAGGAGCTGTTCCATTCATATAACGTGAACACGTGCACTAGAAACGGAAGGCAGAACATTCAGAGAAAGTACGATAAACACAATTGCAGAAATGGAGAATCCTCGGGCTGGATGATGAGTCCAGTCAGTTCCCTGGAAAGCAGAGCGAACAAGTGACAAGAGCTGGAAACAGGGAGGAAGAATGAGGAAATGAAAGGCGTGTGCCAGGCACGCGGGGCCCGCAGAGCAGGAGCTTCCGGATAAAGTGGAGAGGCAGGGAGAGAGCGTCGCGGAGGAAGCATGAGCAGGTCTCAGAGCTGAAGGACGAGCCGCCGACTGTGCGGACCCCGACCAGGGAGCCACTGGAAAATCTCAGAACAGCGGGGACAAGGCCAGATGCCACAAGATTCCAGGGAGACAGCCGGGTCTGCTCCTCAGGAGCAGAGCAAGGTCTTCCAGCTCTGAGGGAAGATTCTTGCCAGCCTGAAGTTGTTATCCAACCAGGCTATTGGTCGAGTATAAGGGTGAAATAAAGGCACGTGCAGACACGCAAGGTCTCAGGAATGTCGCCTTTCATGCATCCTCTCTCAGGCTGCTGGAGGACATGCTCCACCAAAACAAAAGGAGGTTGAAAGAGAAGCCCTCTGGGCCACGGGCGGGAGGTCCACCCCTGTCTTGTCCGTCCCAGCTGCCGTAACAAAATTCCACAGACTGGGCGGCTTATAGACAGCAGAAGTTTATTGCTCCCAGTTGCGGAAGCTGGAAGTCCAAGGTCAGAGTGCCACCATGGTCGGCGAGGGCCTCTTCCGGTCACAGACTTCTCATTGTGTCCTCCATGGTGGAAGGAGGAGGGGTTCTGTGGGGTCTCTTTATAAGGGTGTTAATCCCGTTCATGAGAGCTCTGCCCTCGTGACCTAATCACCTCCCAAAGGTCCCACCTCCTAACACCATCACACTGGGCATAGGAATTCCAACGTGCATTTTGCAGGGACACGAACATTCAGGCCACAGCAATCACAGAGGCCAGCCCCCCTAGGTTGGCAAAGGCAGGTCCAGGAGGTGGCCGTGTTCCCAGAACAGTGTGGCTGAGAGCCTGCCTCTTGGGCTGTCTGCACCAACAAGTCAGATGCCACTAGACCGCCATGCTGACCAGACCAGGACGCTCAGGGGCCTGTCCCAGGGTCTCCTCTGGCTTCCTCTCGTCTCGGCCATGCAGCTCCTGCTTCTCCCTCCAGGCCTTGCCGCCTGATCGGCCGGGGCTCACTTCCCTCACCCAGGTCTTCCACACCTGGAAGCGGAGGTGGGTCTTGGTGGGCTGAGAAAGGACCTCCAGAGCCCCTTGCCCTCCCAGCCACGTCCTGGGCCTCGTGCACAGCCCTACCAGGTGCTCCTCCTCTCCTGAGCCCTGTTCCCCAAGACACACACGGAACCTCGGGAAAGCTGATGCCAGAGCGTGACCCCGAGACTCCCTCCAGCCCGTCTTGTCCTAGGTGCCATGGCCTCACAGGCACTTTGGTCCTCTGCTTACACAAAGTGTAAGAGAGCGCCCAGTGCCCAGGATTCTCCAGGATCCTCCGGGAACTGTCACTGCTTCCAGGGAGGAGCCTTGGCTGCCTGGAGTGGTTTCCTCCAGCACTGGAGAGGAGCCTGTGTGTCCCGTGATCTCACTGGGGCTGCCAGGGCACAGATCTGGTAACCCCCTGACTTCAGTAGCTGCTGGGAGTTTGCTGGATGGCCTCAAGTTGGAGAGTGGTCCCTATAGGCACTGAGAGGCATCAGGTGTGGGCTCTCCCTGAACATGCGCAGTTCCGCTGGCCTACCCACATTCTCTAAGTGGTGAAGGCTCTTCCTGGTTCACCCTAACGCTTCCTTGTCCATCTTCAAAGAGCTGGCTGTTGGTCAACCCACTACCGAAAGCCCTTTTTGACCTTAGTCTTCGAAACTTGTGAAATTCAGCAGGGTAGGAGGTTAAAGTAATTTGGAGGAGTGTTTCCATGTCAAAGGTGGAGGCGGGCTTGAGTTATTAAGCTAGTTTCCAACTAGGTTTAGGATAGATGATCAGAAATGAGAGAGAGAAACTGGAAATGTGGGATCCTTAGGGAACAGTAAACGGTGGGTGTGCTGAGGGGATCTGGAGCTTTCCAACCAGTTGACGGACCATCGATTGCCTCGTGGGTGGTGTTGCGCCCTCTCTTCAGTTCAGGCCGACATCGCCAGTTCCTTGAAGCCCCCTCTCTCGTTTGTGGTTTCTTTGTGGAAACATTTTTCCATCTTCATACCCCATTCCTCTCCCAGTGGGCAGCCATTTGAGTATATATAGTGTTTATTTTGTTAGCCAAGTGTGTCGTTGCAAAATGTATATTATTTGAGAGTGTGTGTGTGTTTAATTTACATCAATGATATTATAAATTATTCTATTTCCTTTTTCTTTTCTGCTAAACTTTGGGTTTTAAATGCTGTTCACATTGCGATGAGGACACCTACTCGGTGACCTTCTTACCACTCAAGGACTATTTTTAAAGTTCTGAGGATTGTCCTAACTGAGAAACTTCATTACGATCAGTCTGAGTATTCCAGACAGAGTAATAGCTGGTGATTACCTTAGATGTCGTTACCATAACCCTAATTAGGTGTTTAAACACTACTGTGTGATTTCCCTTCCCCTTTTAATTGAATCCACAAATTTCTAAGCCCTATGCAGAAAGGCTTGTGTAGTTAGAGCAGTGACACACAGATGGGCTGGGCTGGCTGAGGGGACAGCAGACACTCGAGGGGGCTGGTCCATCCCCACCCTGGAAATTCCTGGAAGTTGGGGGTTCATCTTCTGATGGTGGCAACTTGGAAAGGGGCCCGCTCTGGTGGCTGAGGAGTTTGGGGGCACCGTGTAAGCGCCTGGCAGTGCTCAGGTGACGGGTCACGGGAAGACCCCTCTGCTCACAGCACACTGTGAGGAGCAGTAGTAGCTACAGAAGAAGAACCAGGGTCTCCCCCACACCCATCAGCACCCAGCCTGTCAGCCCGCCCGCCGTGATTGGAGAAGCAAGGGTGGTCCTTCATGCATCGGCCCCCATCTCTCAGCCTAGAGGTTTTGTGGCCTGGCGTGGGTGATGGTGGCCCCAAACCACAGTAGGCCAGTGTAGGACGCCCTGGAGCAGGGCCTGGGCTGGGGCAGGTGGAGATCAGCTGCCCTGGGATCCGCCCTGGACCTCAAGACCTCTGTTACCAGAACAGCTTCCCTGATGAGAACTGCATGCCTGCTGGCCGTCCAGCATAGTTTTCCATGTCTGAACACAATATCCTGCCGGTTTTTTATTGTTTTGGTCTTTGCTTGCTGGATAATGAGCAAACTCAAACTACTCAGATGATTTGTGGTTTTAATATGGGCATTATTGGGTATAATCAAAAATAGAAATCCAGTCTCATAGCAGAGCCCTCTTTCCCCCATATTTACATGCACACACACAGATGGATATGAATTCATATACACCAGCACTGGAATTATTTGGGAGAAAGCTCTTTAAATCTCCAGCTCATGCTCCTGTGTGTTGGAATAGTTAGTGATCTGAGAAGGAGCTGTCATGAAGCCATTGCGAGCCCCAGTGGTCACCTGGGGCCATTTACCACTTCTGGAAAGCAGGGCCCCATCAGGGAGTGGCATGTGAGCTGTGATTCAGTTGATGAAATGGCCGTTAGGTGAATCTGTTACCGGACAATGCGAGGCTTGGCGCCCGCGCCCCTCTCTCCTTGCCCTGGTCCCGCTCCACCAGCCTGTCCTCTCCTTCCCAGCAGCTTCCCTGCAGTGCAGGCTGAGCAAGCCCCTAAGGAGCCACCCTCCTTAGGGGCTTGCTCAGGCACGTCACTTGCTCAGGCACGTCACTTCCCTGCTGGCCAGCCCACCATCTGCTTTTAGATCTACTCATTCCCGGCTGTGAGCTGGCATTGGGGGTACAAGGGAGAGCAAGGGGCACGTGCCTCTCGGACACGGGCTGGAGGCCACATGGCTCCGTCAAGAAGCAGCTTAACTGATGTTAGAACGTGCCCCACGTCCATGTGCGGCAGCGGGAACGAAGGTTGGGAGCCATGGATCCAGGCAGTGGACGGTTGGCGAGACAAGGCATGGAGCAGAGCGGGTGGGGCACAGGGAGAAGCAGACCCAGGGGGACCTGCAAGCTCAGGCATTGCAGAGGTGGCAGGGTAGGACATGGCCATGGCATGCGCTGTTGCCCTCAGTGTGAGATCATGCGAGAGTATCCAAGGTAGGCAAGGCTGGTCGGCAGAGAGTGACAGGAGGGGTGAGGCCAGGAGCCTGGTCTACGATGTGGCGCCTGAAGGCTCAGTGCCTGGTGTCGTCTAGGCTGGAGCCAGGATGAGGTGGGCACAGACCGACCCTCGGGAGCGCCCAGGCCAACGTGGAGACACAGCACAGACCCCTCTGAAACTCGCGGCCAGCTCATGAAGAAGGGGTCTTGTTTGCAGGCAGGAGCCTCCGCCTGCACCTGCAGTGTCCAGACAGACCTGGAGACTATCAGTCTGCCGTTCTCCCCGTCAAGTGGGGGTGGTTTTTACCTTTTCAAGGAGGTTCCCTGTTCCTCTGAACCTTCTGCATGGGGCTGCGGGTGCCGCCACTGCCCTCTGACCCTGCCTCCGCCGTTCTGTGCACCAGGGGCCTGGCAGGGACGTCTGCGCAGACACAGACCAGTCCTCGGTTTAGAAGTGAATGATGTCACTGAGCTGCTCTGTGCCCGTTGTTCTCCTGGGTTCTTGCCGCCATCGCTCTCGCCCCCCCAAGCACCCTGTGGTGCAGAACCATTCTCATTGGTACGTGAGAAAACTCAGTTCTCACCGAGGCCACCCCGCTGGTGAGCCGTCCAGACAAGAGGCAGACCAGGCTCTGTGACCCTAAGACCTAATTTCTGCCTGGGGCCCCAGGAGTGAGGATTTATGAGCATCCCAGCAGGAGCCAGTGTTCTGGATCAGGCAGAGGATGATGGTGGGAGTGGAGCCTCCCTGGCATGGCCCTGCCAGGTCCATAAAGTGGGATCCAAGCTGGGTGAAGGAACCTGCCAGGAAAGGCTGAAGGCCCCGGGGGGCAAGGCAAAGGGCAGCTGGGGAGCAGCCAGGGCCCCGCCCAAGAGCCAGGCAGCAGGGGAGGCTCTTTGGCCGGCTCCTGAAGAAGACAGTCCTGCCTTGTCGTCTGGGCACAGGGCTGAGCCCCATGGGAGAGGGGTCCTGCCTCTGCGTCGTGGGCCTGGGCAGGCCTTCCTGGATGGCCAGCTTTAACATTGTGCGGGTCCTTAGCTGTGCACCGTCCAAGTGACCTTTGAACGTTTGTAAATGGGCAGAGGGGCTGCGCATTCCCGAAAGATCCTTCTGTCTAAAGGGCTCTCCATGGGTGTTTAATTCTGGGCCTCTTTCCCTCGTTTATAGCTGGGGGCTGCGGCGCCTCGGGACTTAGGAGGAGTGCAGGGCTGGCAGTGGTGCTCACTGGAGGAGTCAGGTTGGCTCTGTTGACCGCAACATTTGCTCCCTTTGGAAGCGCAGGTTGTTCCATGCCAGGTGCACGAGCTCGAGCTGGAGGCAGAAGCAGCCATGGGTGCCTCCCCGGCCATGAGGAGTGGCTGTTGCCATGGGGAATGCGAGGCCTCCACCAGGCTGTGCCCCGCCAGCCTGGGACCCACCGCCCACCAGAAGTGCCCCTGCTGCGGGCCGCTCGTGTAGGGCAGCTGAACCTCTGAGACCAGTCTGCCCCGCGGTTCCTGGACACGTTGTGCACACTGCATCAGAGCCTGTGAGGGACCCACCGTGTTTCCAGAGCCCACGCCGTGCTCTGCGCAGGCTGGGGCGCCTGTCACCTTGCCCTCCTGATCTTGGCTCTCCTTCTCCCCGCAGGCTCGCTCACGTCGGTGTTTGTCAGGCTGCCCTGTGGTGGTGTCGGGGTAAGTATTTCTTTAATGTGTAAATAATGTCCTGTTTGTTCTCGGGGTCCCAGTGGTCACAGAAATCGCTGCCTTTCTCTCTGCAGAGTGGATAATTGCTGCCAGGTGTTTTCCATAAACAGGGTCTGGTGGGCAGGGCCCCGCCGCTCACACGTGTGGCTTCAAAGGCCCTGTGAGCCTGTAAGCGTTTTGATGGCTGACTCAGGCACCTTCCTCAGGGAAGGTCGTCTGGCACCCACAGCTCGCTTCAGGAAATGGGCCCTGGTGTGCAGGCTCGTCTCTCCTTCTAGCCTGTGGTGCAGGAGTCTGCTCATCTCGACCTGGATCGTGAATCCATCACTTGGGAGGGTCCATGTAATCCTGCATCCAGTTTCCAACCCGAAGCCACAGGTGAAGCTCAGACTGCGGGAGCCTGATGTTTATGGGCACATGGAGTTTGCAGAGCTGCTAGTGGGGCTGTGTTGGCTGCTTTTCTATGAGAGATGATGCTTTTAAATAGATCTAGTCAGGTAGACACTTAGGGGGACTCAGGCTTTCCCTGACCCTGAAGTGGCCTGAACTACGAAGGACTTTGCAGTCTGGGCGCAGCGCAGGTCAGGTCTCCACAGCCAGAGCTGCTCATTAATAAAGAAAGGGCTCCCCTCTTAGCGCCCCTCCTCTTGGATGAGGGCGGGGTGGGGGCAAGAACAGAGATCTGCAATTTGAAGGCGAGACCGAGCCTCCTCCCAGCGAGCCGCTGGCCATCGAGGTCCCGCAGCCTGAAAAACACTGCAGCCGGTCACGGAGGAGCCAGACGGGGCCGTGTGGACAACACAGCCATCGGGGCTGAAACTGCACAGCGGCAGAGTGTGTGCGTAATTACAGATCGAGGGTGAAGCTCAAGGTCTGGATTCTGTTATGGAAATGAAACAAAATTGTTTTCTTCCTGAGTCTTTACAAAAATCTCTGCTTTGAAAATTATCCCGTCAGAAAGAGAATAAATGGCATTTATTCATACCACCACCAAGCCCTCCTAGAGTTATTTTATTCTGTATTGTAAATAGGCTTCAATCTCTTAATTCGGGGCAAATTTTTGGCGAGACTTGAAAAGGTTCAGATTCGCACTGCCCTGCAGCCAGCACGCCGTGCGAGGCAGGATTTATAATTTGCAAATGAAGCTAAATGGGAACTCAGACCTGGGGACTGGAGCCAGACGGCCCCCTCCCAAGTGTGAAGTCCAGATCTCAGCCCCGCAGGCCAGCCAGCACCCACCTTCACATCCGGCACAAAGTGCTGTCCAGCCCAGAGACGGTGGAGAATCTCAGCAAGTCCAACTGGGTGCAGAGGGGGCCTGCCAGAGCAATTAGGGGCAAGTGTGAACCGTAGGGTGTCTATAGGGATTGTCCTCCTTCAGTTGTTTGCCATAATTACCTCTGATAAGAGGGCAGAGAACGGGGTGCGCGACCCTCCCACCCTGGCTGGTGTGGACTTTCTCCGTTGTAGGGGCAGCCGCAGCCCTGGGGTGTCGGGGAAGCAAAGAGACCCCAGGAGCCAGCGAGTGGGCAGGAAGGCGCATGTCGGGGGATGAAGCGGATGAGGAAGGCCACTCTGCTTGTCCCGAAATGAACATCACTGAATTAACATTTAGGTTGTGTGATGGCGCTCATCAAGGTTTACAACTCATTCTTCCTTAACTATGTTAAGTAGAGGCTCTACATTGCTTTACCTTTTTTTCAAACCAAATAACAAGCACTTCTGCTTTGCTCACCTCCTGATTGTTGCAAGTTTCTTGTTAGTGACTGTTACAAGTCACTGAGGACTTGGTGTCGGGGAATGTCCTCCGTGCCGTCCTTGGCCCAGCCCTGCCTGAGTGGCCCCCTGGCTGGCTCTGGGTGCCCCTGGCACCTAGTGCTGCGCCCCGAGCCCCATGGCATCTGAAGGGCCGCGGCGCACCCAGAATTGGCCACCGCAGTCTGTCCACTTTAAGTCTCTGTAAGAAGTGGCCTCCATGTCGTCCTGGGTCTTTTAAGCAAGCTTGGAGTGGGCCACTTGCTGTTCCTTTGGTTCCCACTCCTGCGTTAGTCAGTGCCCTGCCGCCCTGCCCCCAGCAGAGCCTGCTTCTGGGGCCATGCTGCGTGTCTGAGTCACGCTCCTGTGGAGCCTTGTGCTTCTGGAACTCCGGCCTCCAGCCCAACCCTCCCAGGCTGGCCCATGGGGAGCTGGTGGCCAGCAGCCAGAGGACTTAGTTCCTGAAGCAGCCGAAGGTCTTGTCAGGGTCTCTGGGGACAGTGGCAGCCTGGTGTCCTGCAGTGGGGCTGGGGCTCTGTCCCTTGCTCTGGGCAGGATGTCACAGGACCTTCTGAACAGGAGGAGGTCATGCAGGAGGAGAGCAGAGCATAAAGACGCTTCAAAACACATGGAGGGTCAGGCCATCTTCCCTCCCAGCTCTGGCTACTTAGTCCTAAAAGCCAAATCATCACATCTTGAGGAGAAATCATCTGAGTGCTTTCGCCTGAATCGCCTTTGGTCCTCAGAGGTGCAGCCTCTGGGCCAGCCTGCCCAGGACATCATCATCCTCTTGGAAGCTCAGGAGACTCATGGCTCTCCTTTGAGGGCCTTCACCTTCGATTTTAATGAATGGATTCTCCAGCTGAAGGACCTGGCCCAGAAGAGTTCTGTGTGAATGGCTGCCTCAATGAATAACAGTGCAGTGTTATTTAGAACAGAAGCCAGTCTTTGAAAGCTGAGTATTGATGCTGCGGAGTGCAGCATCAATTGAGTCAGCGAAGTGCAGAGCGTTCTTTTTGACATTTGGAAACTATTTAAAGAACATAGAGGTTTGGTCATTGAAAAGAATAACCTTTGCAGAATAACACTCCTCAGGAAATGGCTTGAACCCCTCATAAATATATTTTAAATCATCGTGCTTTGAAGACGAAGCTTCAAGGCTTCGTTGAAAGAAATCCATCTGCCCCTCGAAATAATGAGTGTCTCTGTCAGGTGGGCAGGAGCCTGGGTGAGCCTGGACATACCTGGGCCAGGGAAGGGTGAGGACAGGCACAGGTCTGGCTCTGACACCTCTTTGTGTGCTCCCTGGCCCTCTGAGCCCAGAGTCCCAGAGCATTCAGTTCTCAGAGGAGGTTAATTTGGGAAGGAGGCCTCCTCAGATAGACTCAGCAGACACCGTGTGACAGGTAGATCAGCTTGTTATTGTATGACTTCTCAGAACCTTCACTAGGCTGGGCGAGGCCCCAAGAAGGGCACATGAGCCCCAAGTGCATGTGCAAGGCACCGGTTACCCCACACCTGGGAACGGCGGCTCAGGCGCCATTGATCTGACTCCGGGGGCCACATGCTTCATCTTGGCCCTCTGACCCCCGCCCCCCAGGCTCACGCAGGAGACTTGCTCTCTGCAGAACTGGTTGCCGAAGTCTCTCTGTCTTCTTTCTCACCCACATTAGCCATAGCTTGTAAAAAAAATCTAGTGTGCCTAAATAAATAAATAAACCAGCACACAAACAGAAATTACCTGACACGTTTGCTCCGGGCACGTTCTTCTGTTTGAAGTGGAACAGCCAGTGGGCAGCCGTGCCGTCACCTGGGCAGCATGGCGAACGGTCCACCGGGGGCTTTCCCAAGGATCCTCGAGTCTCCTCCCTCCCTGCCCCACACTTCCCTTCTTGTTGTTGAACTACTCTTGTCAAACCTTGGGATCTCGAATTCATTTCAGCACAGAATAAAGTCATATTTGCAGAGACCTCTCATTCTAATTCTCCTTACATTTCATTTTGCTGATTATTAGTATAACTTTAACTGCACTTGCAGTAAGGGAAAAAAAAGGAACTAACTAGGTAAGTATTTTGAGGCAATTCAGAAAAAAAAATGACGCCTCAGAAAGGGGTAAAAACATGCGTGATATTTTTGGTGCATTCACTGTTCTTTTTCTGTTTAGTACTTTTTGGCATGTCTTCAAAAAACAAGTCAGCCGGTGAGCTGGGTATGTTCTATAATTGGTAGAGAAGAGACGAGAGGCTCTGGTACTGGGGCTGCAGAGGCAGAGCCGAGGGCGGAGGCTGCACGGCCACCCAGAGGCGGGAGGGTGACCGACCGAAGACGTCGGCCTCACTGCATGAATGTTGTCTCCACAGGTGGACAGCGACACCATATGGAACGAGGTGCACTCATCGGGGGCGGCCCGCCTGGCCGTGGGCTGCGTGGTAGAGCTGGTCTTCAAGGTGGCCACGGGGGAGCTGAAGGTCAGTGAGGACCCAGCAGACATGGGCTCCTAGAAGGAAACCTGCCAGGAGATTTCCAGCGGGAGAGGGAGGGGTCAGCCCACTGCAATTCCCCTCCAGACAGGCATGAAGCGACTGATGAGGAGGACAGCTCCATCCAGGGTGAGGGTGGACCCAATCCTGTCAATCACTGTTGCCTCAAAGGAAGCATCTCCCACAGTTGTGAAAACCTATAACAGTGCAGCGGGTGTCAGAGACTTTGGTCTTGGGAACACTTAACACTCATAAGAAGGACCCAAAGAGCTTTTGTTTATATGAGTTATGTCATCGGCATTGGCCATATTAGAGATTAAAACCGAGAACTTTTTAAAGTATTTATTACTTAAAAATAACAGTACTGCCTGGCTTAGTCAGTCAGCTGGATGCTTGTACCTGCTCTGTGTCAGCCTGGCGACATGTTGTTTTGGTTGAAGTACGTGAAGAAAATGCAGCCTTCCACAGAAACAGAATTGGGAAAAGGAGGAGTATTTTAATAGCTTTTTCAGATAATTGTGGATATTTTTTGATGCCACACCAAAATTCAACAAGTGGTAGTTTCTGGAAATTAGTTATGATGTGGAACCTGAAACAACATTAGCTTTTCCTTCTCCTTGACATTAAAATCTATTGGCCTCTTGCACGTTGAATAGATCCGTGCGTGACTTTTGTAACAGTGCGTTGGTCATTTGGAAATAGGGGCTCATTGAATTACCTAGATCTTGCAAATCTTGGCACATTTTACTATGCAGTAGCCAAGAGATCGCTAATTTTGAAACTGTGACTATCACTCCCCGTCTCATCAGGAGGGTCGTCTGAGTGCTGGAAGAGCCGTGATGCTCACAGTGGCAGATAAAGGTTTTTCCAAACTTTTAATTTTCACTCAAAAGCTCAACTCTCATCCCTGACAACTACAACTGTCTGTTGTTGTCCTTGAGGTGATGGGCTCACCTTATTTTTGAGAAATGTCTTCAACTTACCCAAGTTGGAATGACCAGTTTGTCTTCAGTCCTTCTTTGGAGGAAAATTGGTTTTCCATGAAAGAAGGAGCTGGCCTGGCTTGCAGCTCAGACAGTCCCTTTCCCCGGAGACAGGCCTCGTCCGTGGGCAGCCGCAGAGCTCTTCACACGGCCTCCCCACTTCTTTACACGGATGTGACAGGACGTGTGTTCAAGGATGGAGAGTCAGGGAAATTGATCAGCTTTCCTGCTGCATCCAGGCCGTTCTTAAGTGGAACTGCCTTGCCCCCCGGCAAACCTGTGGTGGAGAAAAATACTGAGTGTTCGAGCTTTCCAGGCTGCTGCCTTGGTTCCCACCACGGCTCTGGCCGTCTACCCTGCATTGCCTTCACACCATGGGTGCAGACGTCTACACAGTGGAAAAGGCAGATAGAGCCTTAGGATTGTTACGAAGCGGGCCCCCCGGAGGGGCATGGGGACCCTGGGTCTGTGGTCTGCACTCTGAGAACCGGGACGCAGTGTCTGTGCAGGGACAGGAGATGGTTCCCCAATCCTGAGTGTGCTGGGGGCGGAGGGGGCTCCATGTGAGTGCCTCCCTCGCCCGTGCCTGCCTGAGCACCACTTCTCACAGCCTGGTCATTGGCGGTCAGCTGGCCCTTGGGGCTCTGTTACAGACCTTGACCACACAGCGTCCTGGTGCTGGTGCGACCAAGAGATCCCTGTTTAAACCATTTTTATTACGGCAGCTACAGAGCGGTTTGCAGTTACTTCTTTAAAGCGTGAGTGACCTAGAGGTCCTACAGGGGACGGGGCGGGGGCATGTAGCTCCTTTCCAGCCTCAAAATACTCCTTCTAGGTGGTATCGGGCTGTTTGTTTTCTGCGCTGCCCTCTCGCCTGGGAACTGAGCTGCAATAATGACAGAGACGTTCATGTTAAGGCCAAACTTAGGCACGAGGTCTGCCCAGCAGCGAGCCCCTTCTGTTTCCTCTGCAGTCAGGGTCTCCATCAAGTTGCTTCCTGGGGATGCTGGTCATGCTCAGAGGGGGACCCAGAGCGCCCCTTTCTCTCCTGCCCAGATTCCCGAGCTAAGCGGTACCCAGCCTTGCCAGCAGGCTGTCGAAGACAAAGTCAGCAACAGATTCACCTTTTATCTTAGCGACTTGTGACAACCCATAGGCCTCTTTAAAAGAAGGGACCCAGAGGTCTTTGGAATGCTTATAGCCAGCCCTTTATCCCATCCTGGGGCTGTGTGCCCGGGGTGCAGCCTGAAACCGTGTCCTCCAGTACATTCTGTAACAGTTTTCTCGCTGATATGAAACCAATCTTTCATCCCTGTTTCTCCCCCCATTTGGTGTCATGTGTAGAATGGCTTTGCCGTGGTCCGCCCTCCAGGACATCATGCAGAGGAGAGCACACCCATGTGAGTAGACATGCGGTCACTCGCGGGCACGGGGTGGAGGTTTCTGACTCCTCTCCTTAAGGGGCTGGGCCTGCTTTGAGGGGAGTGGAAGAAGCTTGGTTTGCCATTTGCAAGCCCCCCTGTGATGTGTACTGTGCCCTGCACATCGACAGTTCCTGAGTGTCCCCCATCCAGCATGAAGTCACTAAGGCACAGCTATAGGGCCACGTAGGGCAGCTTCACTGATGGGTGATGATGAGGAGGCGACTGGGACGAATGGAATGGAAGTTAGTCTAGAGAAGTCCTCTAGTTACGTTTGTTATAAAACGTTGGGAGAGGAAAACTTAAATTGTACCAGAACAAGTTCATGTGGCACTTCATTGTCTAGAACGTTCAAGGTCAAACCCCTCAGGTCTTTTTACATGTGGCCTTTAGCTGACCCGCGTACGGTTGGTACTAATGAGGCTAAAGTCCCAAGGTCAGCACCACATGGGCTGCTCTCTGGACTCTGTTTCGGGTTCTGTACGCCTGGCTGTGCACACAGCTGAGGAGCGGGCCGAGGTGGCGAGCGTGGCGTGTGGACTGTGGAGAACCAGTCGAGGTGGGACGCACCTGGGACAAGGTCACTCGGACTGACGGCCTCAGCGATTGGGCATGAAGGGCCTTTGCTGCCGGGGAGGTGAATTGGACGTGCCATCTCTAATCTGGGGCCTGGACACCCCTGCAGTGAGCACGGCTGCTCGCGCTCTGGAGACAGAGTGGCCTCCACTGCTGCCGGGGGGAGTTAGGGGAGGGGGCGTTGGGCTGTGCCTTGAAGAACGAGTAGTGGTCAGATGGCAGAGCAGGAAAGTGCAGACGGAGCACTGTCGTGAGGAGCCAGGAAGCGCAGGAGCCAGTCCCAGGAGCAGCTGGAACCAGGTGGATCCACAGGCTGAAGTTGCGCCTCCTGAGGAAGCCTTGGTTGTTGCAGAGAGGGAAGTGGGGCGATCAGATCGGTGTTTCAGAAGGGAGCCTCCTGCGTGTAGAAAGAAGCCATCGTGACTACCCGAGACTGGACTTCGGTTAGAGTCTCTCAGCCTCACCTGAGAAATGATGGTTACTCCATGTTCCAGAACACTCCATGTTTCTTAGAGCAGGGTTGTGTTTGTTCCATTTCTCCGAAGTTATTTTTCTAATTTGAATCTAAGTTGTTGGATATTCTCAATAGTAAACCCAGGTAGACCAATGAAATACAAAGGAATGTTTCCAGGTGAAGTTCTTCTCGGTGTTTCGATGAGCTGTGGCAGCTGCTGTGCCAAGGCCAGCATGGCAGGGCTTGCCGCCTGGGGAGGTTATGCATCCTGGGCTGTGTGGGCTTTCAGATGGCTAGCCTGGATTCCAGAAATAAAACAGCCCAGGGCTCTCAGTTTTGAAGTAATTCAGGCAAATGGAAATTGAGATGTAGAAGATTTTCATCTTTACTGGAATAACTTTCTTAGCTAGTTTTCTCGCTCTCTTGAATAAGACTCTAGAATTACGGTTCATCACTGGAGGGACTGTATATGTCATCATATGTCTCAGTAACTTCTGTGTTCTGTGGACCGTAGTGTCTCTTGAGAGGTCAGGAAGTGTTCTGGGGGCAAGTCAGGGGGAACATTGGTATAAAGTGAAATGGATGTTCTCACCATGGGAACCCCGCGTCTGCCTGCACAGGGTGTATCTGTGTGTGTGTATGCCTGCCTCGCAATCACAAGCATAGGTTAAGATTTCCAAGCTGCTTGATCAGAATCTCATGGGACTCTAGATGGTTCTATCACAGTTGTGTAAAAACTGTTCAAAACCCGTATTTTTTCTCCTTTTCTCCTAATTCTCACCCTCAGGGGGTTCTGCTACTTCAATTCCGTGGCCATTGCAGCCAAGCTTCTCCAGCAAAGGCTGAACGTGAGCAAGACCCTCATAGTGGACTGGGTAAGTGGTGCCTGTTCCCGAGAGAAGCTGGGGAAGCGGCGAGGGCCCGTCTTCATTCCTCCCCCCCCCCCGCAGACGTGCTGGGTTTGGGGAAAGGGGGCAGGCATCTCTGCCTCCCTGGACATTTGGACTTGGGGATCTTAGGTTTCCGGAAACTACCTCAAACATGCAGAAAATAAAAGCCCAAACCTGTTACGAGTCTGTTTTACAGCTTTAGTCAGCTGATCCTGCCGATAACCCAGTTCCTGAAATGTCTAGAAATGTGCCCATGGTTGGGGGCAGCAGCCGAAGGGTGATCCTTGGCAAAACCACATTGGGCAGTGGGAGTTCAGGAGGAGATGGTGCCGGCCGTGACCTCGCACATCTGATCTGAGCGCATGGGCTGTGCTGGGCAGTCATTCCTGATGGAAACACCCTTCGTGCTCTGCACGGGCGACTCAAGTTATGCTGGTTTCACCTCCTTCCCCTTATTCCTACAGGAGGTGCCACATCTCACAACCCACTGCCCGAAGGGTAAATTCTAGTTTAAAAAGGCTATGTGATATCTGAACTCCAAAATAGGTATACAGATTCTCATACTGGAGATGGATATTCAAGGTGTTCATTTTAGTCTTTTTCAAGCCGTTTATATAGGGAGAGAGAGAGAGGAAAGAAGGGAGTATTGTCTTTGGTATCTATGATTTATTTCGTACTTTTTTTAAGGACAAAAAAGCAGGTGCTTCAGGTGGGGTTGTCATTTGTGTAGCAAAGTCCTCAGTTTGGGAAAAGAAAAACACAACACAACCAGGGTACCAGCAAGCCCCTAGGTGGCGGGCGCTGCTTACAGAGGTCAGGGGCTTAGACGCTGAGGCAGCGCGATCAGGGAGCGTCAGGGAAGACACGAAGCATTGGGCTTCACCACACCAGCGCCTCTGCCCCCGCGAGCCCTTCCTTCAGCTCCTCCTGAGGGCGTATGCGAAATGCTGGTGGAGCCGTGAGTGGGATGCAGTTAATTACAGCGTGAGTGATAACAGGCCGCATGAGGCGGGGCAGCTGCTGTGTCCAGCAGGCAGGCGTGTCTAAGCAGTAGGCCGAGGTCTGTGTGGTACATCGTAGAACTGCAAGCTACGTGCGAACGCTGTTACGGCCAGCCGTCTGCAAGTGGCACCTGCAGTGTCGCCTCAGTTATGAGGCATGGGAAGCACACGCCCCAGAAGCCGTGACGTGTCTGCACAGCAGCCTGGCCGTAGTTGGGATCACGTGTATGTTTCTTGCTAATCCTTGTCTAGAGCTGACCTTGCATATCGTCTACAGTGAGCACAGGTCACTTTTATAAAGAGGGAAAACAGACTGTGCAGCCCCCGGTGTGCAAGTCACTGACTTGCGTGCAGCTTCTTGCATTATACGCTGCGTGAAGCAGCCTGCTGGCCCCAGGGAGAGCACGGCCGCAGGCCCGGTGGAGGCCCAGCTGCCCCACTGTTGCGCTTTTAACACGTGCGCATTGTAGTCAGGAAAGCAGTGTGTTGTTTTCGTTTGGGGCCTGGGACCCCTGTGCCGTATGTGCGCCTGTCAGTCAGCCCCGTGGGATGGTCTCCTGCCATATCCCAGCATCTGACACAGAGTTGGCTCCTCACGTGTGCCCAGAAATGAACAGGTCAGCGACATCCCTCCCAGTGGGGGCCAAGGGAATGGCTCACTTCATGGACACAGCAGGGTCGAGAAATTGCCCACATGGCTCTGTCTGGGAAATTATGGTGTCCAGGCGGGGCTGAAACACCAGCCCCTTCCTCTTTGCAGGAAGCTGCAGTGGGCTGTGGTGCTCAGAGCAAGGGAGATGGTGACACAGACGTGGACACCACCCTGGGGCCTCTTCCTCTGTTCCCTTGGTCCCCAGCTCACATCCCCGGGCCGTCAGCTGCCCTGCCGGAGGTGCGCTGTTATTCTGTGAGCCCGAGAGGTGTCCTGCCTGGCGCTGAGTCCGTTCTCCCTGCTGTTTTAGGACGTGCACCACGGAAATGGGACCCAGCAGGCGTTCTACAGCGACCCGAATGTCCTGTACATCTCCCTACACCGCTACGACGACGGGAACTTCTTCCCGGGCAGCGGGGCACCTGACGAGGTCAGCAGGGGCCTCGGGTCCATGTGCAAGACAGAGAAGGGCAGGGCGGGCCAACCTGCGATGCAGAAGCCAGGGCTTCCTGTTCGCATGAGCCCCAGATGGTGATTTCAGGCGGCCGTCGGCCTGAATGCCGTCGCGTGAGCACACGTGGGCTTTATTTTGTCTGAAGTACAATGAGAGACTGGAGATGATTTCTGGTTCTAATCTAGGCAAGCTGAAGTCTTTATGAGCGAGTAAGCGTGGAGTGCCCTCCTTTCCCCAGGAAAGACTGCTTCGTGCAGCTGAAACGCGTTCCCAGGCCACGCTGCTTGTCCTGTCCCTGGGCAGGGCGCCTGTCCCATCCTCTCACCTGTCCGGTGCCACATGGTGGGCTCCGGGAACAGCAGGCTCAGAGGCTCCTTCATGACACCCCGATCCCCCAGCAGAGCCTGCCCTCTGAACCAAGAGGCCCCAACAGTGGTGGCCCCACCGAAGGGAGAAGGCTCGTCTGCCTCTGGGTCTTGTTTCTGGGAAGGAAGTCGGAAAGGACAGCCTCACTTACACCTTTTCTGGCTGCCCTCTGTTGGTGTAGGACACCCAGCACAGAGCTGTGGGGCCTCAGCACTGGCAGGCTGCTCGGGGGAGAGGGGCAGCTCCCCACGCCAGCAGGCGGATAGGAACCCCTGCATTCTGTGAAAGTGCTCTGTTGAGGTCAGCGCATCAGGGGCTATGGGGGCTGGTGGCGCTAGTGACACACACTGAGGAGTACAGCGCACAGGCTCTGCGGTGGAGCTGCCAAGCTCAGGTATCCTGCCCAGGGAGGTCCCCACACGAGGGTCTGTGACGTGCATTTCTCTCCTCTGCACAGGTGGGCACAGGGCCGGGCGTGGGCTTCAACGTCAACATGGCTTTCACCGGTGGCCTCGACCCACCCATGGGAGACGCTGAGTACTTGGCGGCCTTCAGGTGAGTGTGCTGGCTCTTGGTCCCTTGGGGCGTTTATGAAACATTGCCGCTGTCCCCTGCTCATCTTCGATGTCACTGCTCTCCTTTGACCTTCACCCCTGTGTGAACACACCGGACACATCTCAGGGCGGCCCCTCCAGCAGCCTCCAGGGTGCACCTTGCTGAGATCAACATTTCTGTAACTGCATTTTGGAGGGCCGGGGCTCTGGGGGTTTCTCTCAGTTTGTGCGTCAAGCCAAAGGTGGAATCTTTGAGACTGTCTTCTTCCCTTTTGTCTTCAGTGTTCCTGTTTTGTGCGTTAAATGAATAACAGGACTGCATTTTGGGTCTTGATAGTAAGAAAGTGATGGGGACCGAGGCAAGGGGTTTAGTGCCAGCTGTCAGAAAGTGTCGTGTTAGTGAAAGGTGGACACTCAACCTGAAAGATTTCATAAACTCCTAATTTTTCTTCCAACAAATCTTTTGTGAGATGATGGGAAACAGAAATAAATATTCCTCCTTTATTGAAGTAAAAATCGTGAGGCGACTCGCTGCATTCATCCCGCTTCCTTTGCGTTACTCTGGTCCCCTAGAATACAGCCGCAGGGCGAGTTTCTTTAAATGCAGCGTTTGCTTTTGCCATCAAATGGTTACTTCTACTTTGATCTGGGCCACATTGAAGTAATTCTTGCCGCCAATGATGGATGCTTGGCAGAGCAGGTTTTCTCCCTATTGTTTTAAATGGTGGCTCCCACCTGCCCCATGGAATGAGTGGCTCTAGAAAGCCATCCCCCTGCCCCAGTGCGGGTCCCCAAGGCCCTTGTGGGGAGAATTTTGTTCGGTGGCGAAGCCTGACAGACTTTCAGTCTTCATTAGAAAACACCATCAATGCACCAGGAATCAGAGTCCCATCAAGTTTCTGGTGAATTTCTCTCTCTACCTCTCTCTGTAACTCCGTGCTCTTGTCCTGCTTTATCCAAATATAAATCACATGCCTGCAGGCGTGTGTGTGTGTGATGCATGTGTCTCTGCAGGTGCGTGTGCACATGTGCTGTGTGTGTGCATGTCTCTGTACGTGTATGTAGGTGCCCATGAGCATGCACATGTGCTGTGTGTGTGCATGTCTCTGTACATGTATGTAGGTGCCCATGAGCATGCACATGTGCTGTGT